CTGAAGTTAATTTAGCTTTTGTGCCTATGGATACTTGGTGGGTGGATTCTAGTGCTACCACTCACATAAGTGTATCTTTGCAGGGTTGCCTGTGGAGCCGGCCACCAAGTAAGATGAAAAGTTCATTTATGTGGGGGACGACAATAAAGTTGCAGTGGAGCTATCGGAACTTTTAGATTACAATTAAAGACTGGATGTCATTTGGATTTTTTTGAGACTTTTGTGGTGCCGTCATTTCGACGGAATTTAATTTCGGTTCCATGTTTGGACAAATCAGGTTATTCTTGTTCATTTGGAGATAATAAATTTAGTTTCTCACAAAATTCAGTTTTGATTGGTACCGGTCCATTGATTGATAATCTATACATGCTTGATGTGATTAGTTCCCATAATGAAATCCTCCAAACAAGTTCACGAGGTACAAAGCGAAAATTTAATGAGAATTCCGCTGCTTTATGGCACAAGCGCTTAGGACATATCTCCAAACAGAGAATTCAGAGGCTTGTGTCTGATGGAATTCTTGAACCCTTAGATTTAGCAGATTTTGAAGTCTGCATTGAGTGCATTAAGGGTAAGAGAACAAACATTAAGAAATTGGGTGCTAATAGAGCTCAAGACGTCTTAGAACTCATTCATACTGATATATGTGGTCCATTCCCTACAACATCTTGGAACGGTCACAAATATTTTATCACGTTCGTAGACGATTACTCTAGATATGGTTACCTCTTTCAGATAAATGAGAAGTCGCAATCCTTGGATGTTTTCTAGTCTTTTAAGGCTGAAGTTGAACTTCAACTTGGAAAGAAAATTAAGGCTGTCAGATCGGACCGTGGTGGAGAATACTATGGTCGATATGATGGATCTGGAGAACAACGTCCAAGACCCTTCACGCTTTACCTCAAAGAGTGTGGGATTGTGCCTCAATACACCTAGCATGAATGGCGTTGCAGAAAGGTGCAATTGTACTCTTAAAGACATGGTAAGAAGTATGCTTAGTCATTCTTCCTTACCGGAGTCACTTTGGGGGAAGCTCTAAAGACTGCTGTATACATCCTTAATAGGGTACCAAGCAAAGTAGTAACTAAAACCCCTTATGAGCTATGGACAGGCAAAAAGCCTAGCATTAGGCACTTGCACATTTGGGGTTGTCCAACTGAGGCAAGGCCTTATAAGCCACATGAAGTAAAGCTAGACTCAAAGACTGTAAGTTGCTACTTTGTTGGTTATCCGCAGTATTCTCGAGGCTACAAATTTTATAATCCCACCTCACGATCATTCTTTGAAACTGGAAATGCGAGATTCCTTGAGGATATTGAGTTTTTGGGGGAAGGAAACATAAGGAATGTTGTCTTTGAGGAAGAACAAGTCATTGATAGTGATCGGGTTATCATACCTATCACTAGTCCTGACATAGTTATGGAACAAGACAACAATGAAATTCCTCCTCTTGTATCACTAGTGGAACAAAATCAACATCCTCAAGAAGTGCCACTTAGGGGATCTACTAGAGAAAGAAGAAGTGCGATTCCGGATGATTATGTCGTCTTTCTTCAAGAACATGAGGATGACATAGGCTTAATGGAGGATGATCCTATCAACCTCGCTCAAGCCATGCGCAGTTCTAACTCTGAACAGTGGAATAGTGCCATGAAAGAAGAGATGAAGTCCATGTATGACAATGACGTTTGGGATGTCGTTGAATGCCCTGAAGGAGTAGTTCCGGTTGGTAATAAATGGATATTTAAAACCAAAAGGGACTCTAAGGGTAAGATTGAGAGATTTAGATCACGTCTAGTCGCTCAGGGCTTTAGTCAAAAGGAAGGCATTGACTACAAATAGACTTTCTCTCTAGTGTCTGCGAAAGACTCTTTTAGGACAACAACGACACTAGTGGCTCATTTTGATTTGGAGCTCCATCAGATGGACGTGAAGACTGTGTTTCTCAATGGACACATTGATGAGACGATTTATATGGTTCAGCCACAAAACTTTGTTGTAGGAGATCCAAAGAAAATGGTCTGTAAACTTAAGAAGTCCATCTATGGTCTCAAACAAGCTTCCCGTCAATGGTATCACAAATTTCACAAAGTTATTAGCTCATATGGTTTTGAGACTAATCTTGTTGATGATTGTGTATATCACAAGTTCAGTGGGAGTAAATATATTTTCCTGGTGTTATATGTTGATGACATTCTACTCGCCAGTAGTGATATAGGCTTACTGCACGAAACCAAGAAATTTCTAACAAAGAATTTTGAAATGAAAGATCTTGGTGACGCCTCTTTTGTATTGGGTATTGAGATACTGAGAGATCGCTCTCGAGGTATTCTCAAATTATCACAAAAGAGCTATATCGATAATGTTTTGAGTAGATTCAACATGAAAGATTGTAACCCAGCAAATACACCAGTAGCCAAAGAGACAAGTTCAGTCTCGCTCAATGCCCTACAAACAATCTAGAAAGAGCGGAAATGCAGAAGATTCCTTATTCATCTGCAATAGGGAGTCTTATGTATGCTCAAGTTTGTACTCGTCCCGATATAGCTTTCATAGTGGGAGTACTGGGCAGATACTCAAAGGATCCAGGCATGGATCATTTGAAGGCAGTCAAGCGTGTGATGCGCTATCTAAAGAGAACAAGGGATTACGTGCTTACTTATCAGAGATCAGATAGTCTGGAGGTCATTGGGTATTCTGACTCTGATTTTGCAGGATGCCAAGATAGCATGCGCTCTACATTTGGCTATATCTTCATGTTGGATGGAGGGGCTATTTCTTGGAGGTATGCTAAGCAGCGTCTTATAGCTCCTTCCACCATGGCAGCAGAGTTTATAGCTTGTTATGAGGCATCTGATCATGGATTATGGCTGCGAAATTTTGTCACGGGGCTGCGTGTGGTAAACAACATTGAGAGGCCATTGAAGATTTATTGTGACAGTAATGCAGCAGTGTTGTACTCTAATAACAACAGGAGTTCGACAAAGTCAAAGTTTATCGATATCAAGTACCTGGTTGTTAAGGAGAGGGTTCAAAATAGACAAATTTCTAAAGAACATATTAGGACTGAGTCTATGCTAGCTGACCCATTAACCAAAGGATTACCGCCTACTGCATTTTATGAGCACAGTGCTCATATGGGCGTTATTCTTGATGATACCTTGGTTTAGTGGGAGTCATTTCGGTTTGTTCTATAGACATTGATTTGTGACTCTGCAGAATAAAGTGATTTTTTGTTTTTCTTCAGTTTCTGTTTTGAACCTTAAGGTGTTTATTTATTATGCAATTTTCTTGCATGAAGTGTTTTTTTTTATCTCACTAAAGTTGGACCAGTTGAAAATAGGCATGTTCAAGATCACATTACATGTATTTTTCATGCCACTCATCCATATTTGATCTATGTCATTGAGTGTATAAATGTGGTGATCATGGTGGTTTAATCATTATCATATCATGATTGAAGCCGCGTTGGTTCCACTGCTATACATGAGATGGACAAGATTGTTAAGGAATAGTCATTGTACAAATAACATTCGGACGCGCGCCTAAGGAACTTTGTGATATAATTATTTGCATAAACCATGCAACCAAAGTGGGAGATTGTTGGAAATATATGTTCCACGTGATGTGGGCTGTGGTTTATGGGTTAATAATTGTATTAGTTAATTGTTAAAGTTGGCTAATTATAAGTGGTCAAATTATGGAGCCCAAGACTACTCAGTATCTTATATGGGCCCAATGAGTGGAAACCAGATACTAAACCTAATTAGGGTATTATGGGAACCCTAGCTAAACATAGTATATAAAGAACCTAGAGGTTGTGGTCCCAGAGACACCAAGACCGAAAAATACACACATATTCTCCCCATCGGGAATACGTGAGGTTTCCCGTGAGTGGACTAAGGAGGCTTGGTTGAGGAAGGCCACTAAACTTCCCGGATAGTGCTTCTGAGGTATCGTCCGGTTAAAGATCGTTCTACAGATTCCGCATCAAGCTCACAACGATCTACCATCATGAATCCAGGTATTTAGATCTATTCGCCTTTGATAATCTGTCAAGATGTATTCCGGAGAATTACATAGACTAAAGTTTAATTCTAACAATACGATCCAAAGGAAAGTACATATCTTGCTTGGGACGACCTGCAACCAAACCATATTGTGAGAGAAACCAGCAACTCCAAAAATATTTCCTTTGCAAGCTGTTGATACACATATTTAACACTGAAACCCGGCGTTGGCGTGGGAGTCAACACACTCTTTCAGGGCTCGTAGATTTAACTTGCCACTTGGATTCTCCTTATTAATTAGTTAATTAATTGTTGCTCTTTACTGTTAATGTACAATGTTGCCTTATATATAGACAAAACCCCACAGAGAAAGAGGCATTCTGCCGATTTCCCACAAGACGGCATTCTCTCATTTTGTTTCGAAACTCTAGCATTCTGGTAGCTAGGTTAAATCTTCCTGAAACTACACCGCATCTCTCTTCTGTATGTTATGTATTTCTAATGTCTACACTTCTTTAAATATTTTAAAAAGGTCTAGGTTTTAGCGTTGGTTGGGCCGAGCCCACATTAGTTATTTTTTTTATTTTTTTGGGTGTCTGCATAGCTGTGGGCCGGTATTTTACACTTTTAGTGATTTTAGTTATTCATGACCAAATATCAATCGCAATTCCTGAGATTTTCTTGTACCTAATAACAAATCTAATTACAAACTATTATTTTACGTAGCTAATTACAAACACTAATCAGGTATCTATAATAAATGAAGTTTACAATGCTATATAACATTGGTGCTATAAGTTTTTGTCTTTATGGTTTAACTTCATATTGTACCTGCATTGTTTTGTACACGTTTTTTTATGTTACAACTTGAATTTGTACCTTTATATGATGGTATAACTTCAAGTTGTACTTTAACATAAATGTACAAATTCCTTAATGGTACAACTTAAACATATACATTTAACGTTATAGTATAACTTTAAGTTGAACATTAAAACACCAATGCTTTATAGCATAATAGAACCGATCTATCTGGAATGAAAAATTCTAACATGATGGTCAGTACAACTATAGTTCAAAATATTGTTGAATGGATCAATATTAACTCGCTGCTCGAATTGAGGCACTTCCTCTCCACAAATCTGCAAACATTGAATGCCAAATTAAAAAGAAGCCCCTAGGATTCTCACAGTATCAAACAGCAAGAAAATGGGTGTCAAGGAACATCCGCATCAATACAGAAGATTTAATTTAGAACAATTTCCACAATCATCTATACTCATATTCTGTAAAAGCAGAATGAAATAGGTGACAACATAACTGAGCATGTAGACTGAGGAGAATGACAGAATGCTGCACCGCCAATCTTGTCAATGGTTTCTTAAAACACCGTTATTATATGTGTTGTTCAATGTGATTAATTCCTTCCTCATCGAGGATCAAGAACTCCAACCAGCTGTCTCTCAATTTGACTCACGAAACAACATATAACCTGCCATGGAACTCAGAAAGACAAAATACAATGCTCAACTTATATAGTCAAGACAGTGTGGGACACAAAGCAGGTATAAGGTTGTTCTGTACCTAATTAGCAAGTCCAAGTTCCATATACAGCCTCAAGGAATTGAATTATTGTAGTACTATAGAGAGGCCAAAGGAATTAGCAAATCCAATTTTCATTTACAGTATCAATTTGTCATCCCTACCAAGTTCAAATTCATGGGAAAAAGAAATTGATCCAAACTGTAAATCACATGAACTGTAAGGGAATGTTGAGTTCATAGATGGATGTACTGAAACGACATAGATGAATCTATGTACGTGAAATTGAGTTAAAGCGTTAGTGAATGATATATGATCCACGATTGAACCTCTCCCAACAACTCGAGTTATTGGGACTAACTGGTTCTTGATATGGTATCAGAGCCTTATAAGACAGAAAGGTCTTGTGTTCGAATTCCCGTGACCCCGTTTGTGAAGCACATGGTATCGTGTATTCAGACCTGTGCAAACGAAAGCCCTTATGAGGTGACTGGCTTTCATTTGATGGGGTGTGTTAGTGAATGGTATATGATCTACGATTGAACCCCTCCCAACAACTCGAATTATTGGGACTAACTGGTTTTTGACAAAAGCGACATAGATAGATCTACAAGTCGTTCAACTGATCATCATTGTTCTCCTATATAAAGCTAGGCAACCTATGAACAATCAACATTGCAAGGACAACTTGGTGTTTATGTGATCATGGATATATAACCTTAAACCCATGGCAGAAGAAGGCTGTCAGATGCCCTCTAAATGAAGCCTGTAATAAGACCCGGCCACCATCTTTTCAAGCTTAATACATTCCAGCTACCTAGGTAAAGGCTTCTCAGCACATTTGGTCAGTCAAAACAATAATGTAAACCACGAGTGACGAGTACGTACCTCAAAAAACACAGTGACGCCCCACCATTGATCTCTACATATATCAAACCACAAAAGGTTCGGATAAGTTACTAGACCGAGTTTGGGTTCCACATACAATAATGAACACATGAAACAACCACATATATAGCTAGCTAGGCATGATTCGGTTATACGACATATTTATCCGAGGGATTCTGTAGAATATTAGAGTAGCGCAAACCTCCTTATCCACCAATTTCAAATGGTCGCCGGCGATGTAACATGAAGCAGAAGCTACAGCCTGGATAAGTAGGAAGGTTTTGTACCTGATAAGTGGTGGAGCATGAGGATCCAACAAAGGATGTCATTTCATATCACATAAATATTTGAATAAACATTTTAAATGTATGATTTTAAAAAAAATTGATAGTTAAGTAGACCCCTTTTATTATATTATATAGTATTGGTGGTTGTAGGTACAAATTGAATTTGTACCATAACATAAACGTACAAGTTTCAATTTGTATCATAATTCTTATTTTTACCTTTATGTTATGATACAAGTTTAGTTCGTATCTTATAATGATAATACAAATTCAATTTGTACCATAAATAAATTTGTACACAAAAATATAGGTACAAATTGAATTTGATAAATATTTTTTAATGAAAATTTTAAATAATCAACTAATATAAAAAAAATCCATAAAAACTACCACGTACGTGTATGTTTTCCCCCCAAAAATTGAAGTGTAAAAAACAGCCAGTCAATCTCAAGCAAATTATTCAATGTCCGTGTTCCTCATACTGCAAGGAATAATTCAGGAGATACATGGTTTAATAGCAGGGTTTTGGTGGGGTAGGAAGCAGGAGGAAAAAAGAATACACTAGATGAGTTGGGAGAAATTGTGTCGATCAAAGCAAGAAGGAGGAATGGCATTCAGAGATGTACATGACTTTAACTTGGAGCTAGCTTCTAGGAAGACAGGTATGGAATCTACTAAAAAATCCTACCTCCCTAGTGGCACAAGTTTTTAAAGCTATAAATACTATCCTCACTGCTCAATCCTCACTGCTCAATCGTAAAGGTTTCGGTTGGCAACAATTCTAGCTACATTTGGAGATCTCTTATGGCAGCCCAATGTGTAGTTAGAGAAGGAATAAGGTGGAGAATTGGGGATGGGAAGCAAATCGGAATATGGTGGGATAAGTGGATACCTGAAGGACCAGATTACAAAGTGAAAACACAAATGGATGGACTGAACTGGGATGCAAGGGTGGAGAGTCTGATTGATGAAGAGACTAGAACTTGGAAGAGCAGCTTGTTACAAAGGCATTTTCAGCCAAAAGATTGTAAGAGAATCATTCATATTCCCCTATCACGTCATCCTTTTGAAGATACCAGGGTCTGGGGACCTGAGAAACAGAGGGGATACTCGGTCAAATCTGCTTACTACCTATGGGGGGAAATGAGACTGTAGAGGGAGAACGATAAGTCCCAATTGATTGGAAACGTCTATGGCACTTGAAGATTCCACCAAAGATTAGTGTTTTCATCTGGAGATGGGGCAGTAATATACTTTTCACAGGTTCAAATCTAGTACGCAGAGTAAAGGAGGCTTATGAGGGGTGTCCATTCTGTGGATTACTCTAGACACAGGAACACATAACCCGTGATTGCGATTGGGCTGGAAGAGTGTGGCGACATAGTTTTCTAAGGAAAATCTTTAGCATGGGTGAAAGTTAAACTAGCAAGGAATGACTTTGTGAGGTAATGGAAACATCGACGGATGAGGAGCTGAGTTCGTTCATAATAGCCCTATGATTTTTATGGAAGGAAAGGAACAACCGGTGGTTCAATAACCATAAGCTGGAAGATTGGGAGATTATTGCTCGATCTGAACAGTATATAGAGGAATTAAAAGCCGTGCATGAAAAGAGAACTAACCTGTCGACATCGGGCAAGTAGGATTATAGATGGGAGAAGCCTAGAGCGGGAACCTTCAAGGTGAATGTTGATGTTGCGATTCTTAAAGAAGAGGGCATTTGCTTCGGCATGGTAATTCGTGATGATACAGGGACCTTCAAAATGACAGCAGTCCATCGAACTAGAACACCCTGGATGCCGGAGCTTGCTAAAGCAAAGGCGATTTTCTAGGCGATGAGGCTGTCAATTATTCATCAGTGCCGACCGTTGTTGGTTGAATAAGATTGTCTGACGGTTATAAACAAGATCCAGGAGGAAAATCGATCTGATTTGGAGGTAGAGACTAAATGTGGGGAGATAAGGAAGATGATGAAGGAGGAAATGGGGGTTAGGGTTCTATTTTGGAGGAGAAAATGGAATGAATTGGCTCACCTAATGGCCAGGGTGAGATGTAATTGGGATGAAAATGAGATTTGGTTCGACCGACCACTGGTCATCTTAGTGAACCAACTCATTGCTGACTGTAATAACCCCTGCCTTTGATGCATTAATAAATTCCAGGCGAGGCGAGTTATAAAAAAAATAACCGCCAGCTCCTGGGCGAGGAAATTAAACGGGCGATACTTGGCAACAACCTGGGTTGCAGCCCGTAGCAGCTTCCAGCACACATGGCACCTAAGGATTGGCCCAAAATTATTTCGGGGTTTTTAATGGTTAAATATAGTCTGAAGGTGGAGGGAACGGAACAGATTCAAAGTTCTGTTATTTCTTTTCCTTTTTCGTTGGAGTGAGATAGAATGGTTCCATTCTTTTTCTTTTAATTAACTTTTACATTTACAATTACAATTTGGTTTCCTTCCTATAGGTTTTATCTTATAAATTTTACTTTCCTTTGGCTTTTTATGAGAAAACGGAGAGGGATGGCTTTTTATAAAATATGTTAAAGAGAAAAATAATGATTATGTCTAGACAAAATATATATGTATGTGTATAATTGGGCGGGTTTGGGTAGGATAGTGAGAAATTCATGCCTACCCATTACCCGCAATATTCGGGTTTGGGTTTTACCCGTACCCACTAAAAGTCCTTCGGATTCAGGTATTACCCTGTCCGTTAGGTCGGATTCGGGCGGATATCCACGGTTACAGATATTTTTGCCATCCCTAAATGGAGCACATGAAGGTCCCACTTTTATTCTTTAAACCAATCGGAGTGTTTGTATTTTGATAGTTAAAGTACAACCAGTAAGCTAATGCACTAGTAGGTAGGTGCTCCAACAAATGTAGCCTTATGGGTAAATCATGTCTTCAGAGTGAACCAAATGAACCGCAAATTGACCCACTAGCCCAACCAATTATTAATCAAACTTTTCGAAATACAAACTATTAGTAAATTTTTTTTAACACATCAAAATTGCTATCGAAAAGTTAACATTTGACTAATATTTTGAAATTTTGAAAGATAAGACTAATAATTTGAAAAGTTAAAAAGGTTTGGCTAATAAATTGTATTTACCTATTTTTTTATGTTGGGTGCACTCGACCCTACCCAATCATAAACAAACGTAGAGTTCTAATTTCTTGGTTGGATTTGGATTTAGTAGGGGACCTTTATGTGCTCTGTTTTTTCATAAAAAGCCAAAGGAAAGTAAAATTTATAAGATAAAACCTACAGCGAGGAACCAAATTGTAATTGTAAGAGTTAATTAAAAAGAAAAAGAATGGAGCTATTCTACTCTCACTCCAACGGAAAAGGGAAAGAAATAACGGAACTTTGAATCCGTTCCGTCCCCTCCACCTTCATACTACATTTAACCATTAAAAACCGAAAATAATTTTTAGGCCAATTCTTAGGTGCCATGTGTGCTGGAAGCAGCTACGTGCTGCAACCCGGGTTGCTGCCAAGTATCACCCAAATTAAACCGTCCCAGGGATCAGATTGACATTTTAAGGGGAAAAAGAAATTAAAAAATGGTGCGTATAATACACGGGACGATAACTGGCGCCGTTTAATACGGTCACATATATACTATTTTATGTCACGTCCTTATTCCCACTTACGATTTAAGGAGAGAGACTGCAGTGTCAATTTCTTTCTCTCCCTAGCTAATTGCGATTCGCGAACATTCTCACTGCCAATCCCGCCGAAAATGGCAGGCGGCGGCGGCGGCGGCAACGTGTTCATTTGCTGTTGCAGGGAGCTGAGGAGCGGGTTCCCGGATCACCTGTGCGCGGGACTACGGGAAGCCGGACTGACGGCGGTGATGGGCGGCGGAGATCTGCCCAAAGGGGTGAACCTGAGGGACGCGATCCGGTGCGCGATCGAGGATTCGAGCTTCTCCATCGTGATTCTCAGCAGTGGGTTTGCTTCCTCGGAGTTCCGCCTCGACGAGCTTGTCCACATCAAGGAGCAGCACGCCACCGGCAGCCACGCCTGCTTGCCCGTCTTCTTCCATATATCCCCCGACGACGTCGTCGACTCCGGATCCAGCACCACCAGCAGCTGCTTCCACGACTACTTGGACCGATACAAAACCCAATTCACTTACCATAGAGTTCACGCCTGGATCCGAGCACTTGCTTGGCTAGCCGGCATCTCCGGCTGGGTCCTCACCGCCGGCCGGTCCGTATCTATCTATCTATCTATCTATCTATCTATCTATCTATCTATCTATCTATCTAACTATCAATCTACATTTGGCTTCAATTTTATTTGTTTTAAACATATATATCTGGTATTAGTTTTGCCTAAGATTTCAATTTACTACCTCTGTGTGGAAAGCGAGAGAGTCATATATGGGCACCGAAACCCTAGCAAGGTCTAACTCCTAACTAAAAATTGTTGGATATCCAAGAAGGAAAAATTAGGATTATCAATCTGGATAACTCGTAGACTAGATCGCTTTCTTTAAACGGGTTATGATACTATCTCGTACTTTCCACAACATACTATCAATCATTTTTCTACATGATAAAACAACCACTCTCTCACATTCTCTTGTCGTGCGAAAACCCTAGATTTCTTAAGAAGACTCTCATTTTGTTTGAGCTCACACTTTGTGTGTTTAGAGGGTACATGAGGTCCAGTTACGTTTTTATTAGAGGAAAACCCCGTTGTTCCCTCTTTTGCGAGGGAATAAGCCATTTTGTATTAGAAAATATATCAAATAATTCAGATGATATATATCTCCTAACAATTGTATTCTCTAGTCGATTAAACCAACTCACTCATTGTCCGCTCTTTCGAATGGACAAAAGTTATGAGCGCTTGTGAATGGTGGAGGTCACTTAGGTCTTCCGTCTTACACAAATGGGTAAGGACAACACCCTTTGGAGAAAGATACTTATCTATATGCACCTTTTACAAGGCATCACTTAATGTGGTATTTGAGACTTCCATTATCTTTCAAAAGTTATTCTTACGTTCCTCACAATCCCCCACTTGAATAGTTTTGAAACTTTCATTGCCCATTAACAGACAACATAAGATCAAGTATAAAACTAAGGTTATACTTACCAATGTGGTATTTGAGACTTCCATTAGCTTTCAAAAGCTATTCGTTCCTCACAATCTCCCACTTGAATAGTTTTGAAACTTTCATTGACCATCAACAGACAACATAAAATCAAGTATAAAACTAAGATCATAGATATAGTTCAAGACTACGAGTCACTGAAAGTTTTATACTTGATCTTATTTAGCACACCTGATCTATTCAGAGTGTTATTCTCTCAAAGATCACACACTACGACTCTTCACATATACCCGGTTTAGTGAATTCTCTAGAAAATTTTGGCCATGGAATTCCGTAGGAAGCGACCCCATTTCCACATTCAAATAGTTGAGTCTATTATAAGTACTCCGTCCGAAGCTATGCAATTCACTTCATATTGATTTTAGATCTCATTAAGAGTTACTATTACCTCAACCTCTTTTTATTTCATGAATTCTTGCTTTACTAAGCATGATTTATCTCATCTTACACACTACTTGTTATTATTGGACCCATTTATTGAGGTCTCCTGCCCATGGGTCGGTTACCATCATCTGAAATTCAACGTTCTATGACCATAAGTCTCATACTCTTACCGATATTCTTGACTTTCTCTTTAGTTAATCCTTTTGTAAAAGGATCAGCTAGATTCTATTAAAATCGTACATGATCCATCCTCATTGATCCTATATTTAGAAACTCTCTCGCATTACTCTGCTTATGACGAATCTATAACCTCTTACCATTGTAGTAACACTTCTCCAAATTCAGAAATAGTAGCGCGCTATCACAATGGATCAATACCGGAAACATCGGTCTTTCCCTTAAAGGAATATGCCAACTATCATCTTAACCAACTCGCTTATAATTTCTTATTTCATAGTTGATTTAGCTAGAATTTGTTTTCTTCTTAGACTTCCAAGACACAACTCCACTAGTTATGTTAAAAAGATAATCACTAGTTGTATTTGGAGCCATCTGATAGGGTATTCTAATCCACGTCACTATATCCTTCTAATACACCAAGGAACCTTTGATAGTGTATAGCATAGTTAATTATTCTTTTAAAGTATCTCATGACACTTTCAATAACATTCTATACTCCATACTATGACAATTAGTAAACCTGTCAAGTAATCCTACGACATATGCATTGTCAAGTCTACTGTTGCATCTCACAAAGTAACAATTATATATGCTTGCATATTCAGATTGTCTTACACTAGTTCAAGTGGTCTTGAAAATATTTGCACTAGCATCATATAGGATGAACACACATGTTTATAGTCAAAGCGATAGTATTTCTTCAAATTCTTTTCTATATAATAATTTAGAGAAATCTACGAACAAGGGCTTGGTCTTGTGGAAATACCACTAGCCTAGAACCTGGAGGTCCCAAGTTCGAATCCCTTAAGTAGTACTTTAATAACAACAAAATAATTTAGAGAAATCTCTTTTCTATACTAGTTAATAGTTATCTAAATTCCAAGGATAACACTATTGTCACCTAGACCTTTCACATCAAAGTTATCACACAACATTACTATCCCAACATTGAAAACACGAATTTATGAACTAAAGATCAACATATCATTTTACAACTTACAAACATATGATAGTGTACATGTCACTCTCATATTTGTAATAAATGCACTTGTCACTTTCTTTTCCTTTTTTTTCCTTTGAATCAATTGTCACTTTAAAACCATTAGAAAGAATCATACTGTTAAATTAGGGTTCGGCGTTAGTATAATTCACATGGATTGTTCCAATATATATATAAAGGTCAAATTAACATATTTTTAAATATCGTAAAAACGAATTCTCTTCATTACCTTTTTTTTTTTTTACAAATATTTATATGAATATATGATCTGTTAAAATTCACCTGCTCTGTGATTCTTCTTTCATGATTTTCTTATGTACAGAAATCCTAAATATGTGCTAACGCAGGTCTGAAGCTGCCCTTGTCAAGGAGATTGTCACAACAATCCAAGAACTGATCCGTAAAAGCGAGCTGGCATGCTTCCCTGCCCATTGTCGTCAGTACCCTAACAGCTGGGAGCAGCACAATCACAAGCACAAGCACAAGCCGTCCGCCGCATCCACAACCTCAATCTCAACCTCGAGAAGGTCCGCGGCCGCCACCTTGTCCTTCCGTATAGTGGTTGTGGTTGCAGCAGCATCTGCCTTTGGCGGCGCAGCCGTCATTGCCATATATGTTTTTGTAACTCAACTTTAGTTTTGCGAATATGATCCCGTCCGTCATTCATAAACCACACTCATGCACAGAGTAGAGACAATTGTGCCTTCATATGACATTATGTTAACATTCATGAAGTTATGATGCAATTTGGGTTGCTCTAACTTTGTATTTTTGTTATTTATTTGGATTTATCGTTTTAAAATTATGCGTGTTTAATTTATGTTTTAGGGGGAAACATATTATGTTCTGGTTTATTGGTTCGATTTTTTGTGTGGTGGAATAAACAAATATTCAATTTTCGCTAAACTTAGTTCACATGATCCGGACCACGCTTATCGGACCAGACCACACAGGTGTGGTCTAGTCTGGACTGTTTAGTGTTTGGTCTGGTTCACGGTCTATGTTTCAATTTCTCGATCTAGACCATAGACCGTATGTATGATCTGTTCTTGACAAGACCGCACCGTTTTCCAGCCCTAGTCCATTATGTACGTGAGATCATCTTTTTTTCCACTTTGATTTTTTTTTTCCTCCTTTCCATTTTGTGATAATCGGGTGAAACAAAATGATATGGAGCTTGTCGTGGAGCTTTATTACATCCCAAATGATAAAGATTAAAGAGCTTTCTCTATTCCTGTTCATAAACTTCTATTTGCAAGGAGGTTCTTTCATTGCCTAGGCTGATCTTTATATTGTCTTCATCATTTGAATTCCCGTACACATAACCTTCATCTACATGAGAGTTATAATTTAAATGATTGGAGTATGAACCTTGTGATTCTGATGAATTCAGGGATTGTGGAGTCTGGCGAATTTATTA